CTAAACCGCAACCTGCCTGCTCCTTACACTCCTCTCTCTTCTTCTCTGCTTTATTTTTGACCTTGCACCTTTACCTTCCAGTTCACTGGGAACCTGGTTATTTTGTTGTGATCTTCCCCTTAGACTCCTTGAGTTGAGGAATTTTTGTGTTCCGCTTACTGCAGGATTGGTAGCACCTAGAAGAGGGCCTGGCACTCAGTAGGAGCTCGGTAATTATGTGTTGAATGAATGAACGCAAAGTTCCGTTCATTCACATGTGCATTTTCCAAGGCAGAGAGGGTCCAGAGCATTCATCAGAGCTTCAGAAGGGTTGTTTACCACTGCCTAAGGTTGTCTCCCATTTGGGGCTATGTTGACCAAGCAGATTTACCTTCCAAAGGGGGAGAGAATGCCACTTAGCCACTTGGGCCTGTAGTTAGTCTATAAAATTTGGGCCTCCAAAGTTAATAATTGAGACCCTGGTTTATCCATCAGTCTCTTATGAAGTGGGTCATGATGACTCAGTCTACCTGCCAAAGCACCTGCCTACAGCGAGAGGTGGCTCAGATGCCCTCTGTGGCGTCTCTGTTCCTAAGTGGCAGCTCCTAAATACTGCCCCTTTTCCACCACCCAGACGTAACTTTTCCCTTCCATGATTTCTGCTGTTTCATGCCTTGTGCCTTTCCAGTAATGAGGGACATTTCCCAAGGGCAAGGGACTGGTTTTCTTTTCTAGGACTAGGTATTAAGAAGATGCACACATATCTCAAGCAGCTATGGTTCAAGTCTTGACTCTACTACCTACTCGCTGTGTGATCTGCAACAAATTACTTAACCTCTCTGTTTCCTTCTCTAAAAATATGGGTCTAGGAAGAATAATACCTCCTTTACTGTGTTGTTTGGGGGATTTGATGAGCTACTGATGTGCTTGGCACAGGGTTAAGTATGGAGTTAAGTGAGGGATTTTATTTCAACCACCCTACAAATATTTATTGAGTGCCCACTATGTGACAGGCATTGAACCAGGGACCAGGAAGAATAAATGGGGCAAGAGCTGTCTTATGTGATTTAGCTTTTCAATGGCACAGACAGAATAGCAGCAAATGGCCTGTTTCTGACTCTACTGCCCCCACACTGCTGTAGGTGGCCTGGGCCTGCTCCTCTCACCATCCCTTGTGGAGCTTACATCCCAAAGGTAGAGGAGAACAGATAAAAGAGTGTATGGTTTTGAAATGGGACAAGCCCAGTAAAGGGGATGCATAGAGTGCTTTGGGGAAAATACTGGAATAACAGACTGGGGGCAGATTTGAATCTGAGGGGGTCAGAGTTACTTGTGAGTTATTTTGTGAGCAACTTGGGTGCAGAGGCCTGTGGATAAGCATCAGGGACCCTCCCTTCTTCCTTTGCTCTCTTTTCCCTACATCCCTAGGGATTTGGAGCTTGCTCTGTGGTCTGGCAGCCTCAGGGGAGGGTGTTTTTAAGCTGTAGCTTGGCGCTGCCCTGCTGGGCCCCGCCACACGCACCCTCTAGTGGTCACAACGCGTGCCAGGCACTAGGCTGGATGGGCCCTAGGAATCCAAGGACAGCAGGACTGCCACTGCCCTTCCCTTCCTGACATTATCTTCACTCAGATGCAGTGGTCCTATAACAAGGGCTGCTTCTAGGTCCTCTTGTCACTTAATTTTGTCAGCCACCTCCAGCATGATTTTTTTTTGAGATGGAGTCTTGCTCTGTCACCCAGGCTGGAGTGCAGTGGCACGATCTCAGCTCACTGCAACCTCCGCCTCCCAGGTTCAAGTGATTTTCGTGCGTCAGTCTCCTGAGTAGCTGGAACTGCAGGGATGTGCCACCACGACTGGCTAATTTTTTGTATTTTTAGTAGAGATGGGGTTTCACCATGTTAGCCAGGATGGTCTCAATCCCCTGACCTTGTGATCCGCTCACGTTGGCCACCCAAAGTGCTGGGATTACAGGCATGAGCCACTGCGGCCGCCCTCCGGCATGATTCTTATTTCCACTTCACAGATGAAAATCCCAAGGCTTATAGAGTTGAGGGAGGTAAGTAGGGTCAGTACTGAATTTCGGCCCATCGGGCTCTGGTTTCAGTGAGCTTCATTCAGCATCATTCTTGAGCACATCAGGAACGATGCCACGTCTCCCAGTGAGCAAGAGATGATGCCAGATTTTGCCCATTACTGCCCAGCAAAGAAGGGAGGTCTCCTGAGTAAGGTCACTGCTGCAGCCTCTCCTTGGTCTGAGGCTACTGGGGCATCTCTCAGGGCGCTCCTCCGGGAACTCTGCAGATTGGGAGAGTGGTACCTCAGAGAGGCATGGGGGTGGAAGTGGGGGGAAGGGAGCCCCTAGGGCTCTGTGCTGAGCATCTGTGGAAGCACACAAGTCCCTGCCCTCAGGGGAGGTCCTGCAGGTTACCTGCTGGTAATCCTTCTTCCTGCCGGCCCATTTCCTTTGCTTCCATTACACAAGCACACCCCTTCTTCAGCCAAACTGTCTGGGTTTTAATCCGGCCTCTGCCAGTAACTACAAGTTACTTGGTGCAAGCCTTTGTGCTTCAGTGTCCTTATCTACAAATTAGTGGTAACTCTCTCACCTATAATACCAGCACTTTGTGAGGCCGAGGCGGGTGGATCACTTCAGGTTAGGAGTTCGAGACCAGACTGGCCAACATGGTGAAACCCCATCTCTACTATAAATACAAGAATTAGCCAGGCATGGTGGTGCAAGCCTGTAGTTCCAGCTACTTGGGAGGAGGCTGAGGCACGAGAATCACTTGAGCCCGGGAGGCAGAGGCTGCAGTGAGCCGAGATCACACCACTGCACTCCAGATGGGGGACAGAGCAAGACCCTGTCTCAAAATAAATAAAATATAAAAATAAAATGGTAGTAACAACCATACCTATCCCCAAAATGTTGTAGTCTGGGGACCTCAACCCCTGACACTTTGATTCAGCTGGTGGGCCTGTTTGGAAATCCCTTCTTGAAGAGTGTAATCTGGCAACACAGACCTACACACCACTTCCAGCCAGGATGAGCAGGCGTGCTGGTTCATGCCCCTCTGGTTTTAGCATGTTAGCATTGCCAATGCCATCCTTGTTTTACTGGCAAGTTACATGAGGGCGTTCCTGTGCCTCAGTTTTCCTCATCTGTAAGTGTAGATAAATAATAGTAAAGATGTTCAGTGCTTATATATTAATAATAGTATCTATGTTAAGTGTTGTGAGAATCAGCCAAATCCTGGAACATTACCTTGCCCACAGTAACGACTCAATAAGCATGAACTGTTATTACTGCAATCCACACTCAAAGAGCAGACACGGGGATAAAAGAAAATACATTGAGTTTCTCTTTGTATTTTAAGATGTATTAATTTCCCCAAAGCGAAAAGTGACTTACACAAGACGGGCTTCTAGGGTGCGGGTCACGCTGGTTTTTGGGTGTTGGTGACATCACGTGTGTCTGTTTACTTGTGAAAAGTCATCCTGCTGTTCGCTTGCGATTTGTGCATTTAACCTGCACTATGTCCTGGGACCTTCATGGTTCTGTGACGCACGAAGGGCAGGCATCCTCATCCGCGGTTTCCAATAAGGAAGTGAGGCTAGGACGGCTAATTTAATTTGGCCAAGGTAGTAGGAGATGGGCGTGAGGAAGTTTCCGAGTCCGATCTTTAATTCGGGGAACAGCTGCCACTTCCAGACAGCGCAGCGCGAACAGTACCTGGCTTCAGGTACGCTCAGCAAATGGTCCTGAATCCTCCTCGCAAATGCCACTCCTCCCCCAGCGCAGACAGTCTCAGGGCCCGGCCGGGGGCTGGTACCGCCGCACGCTCCCCGGGCCAGCCCACGCGTGGCCACCCGCGAGGGAGACCCGCTGGCCCGCGCCGCGAGGCCGAGGCGGGGGAACGGCGCCCAGCCCCGGGCCAATGAGAGTAGCGGAATTTCTTTCATTCAGCGCGCGGCCAGGCTCCAGCCCGGAAAGGGGCGGGGCGCCGCGCCGTGGGTGGGGCCGCCGCGCGCGGGGGGAGAGGGCGGTGCCGGCCCCGCCGTCTGGCCAATCGGCGCCGCGCCCGGGGGGAGAGGGGGGCCCAGGCCTTTTTTCCCCTCCGCGCGGGACCAATCCCGACTTTACAAGCTTGAACTTTTGCCACCCTCGGACGAGCGAGCGCGCCCGAGGAGGTACCCCGCCGCGCCGGCTCCAGGGGCAGGAGCGGCCTTAACCCTTCCCGCGCCGGGCGTCAGGCTACTGCCGCCGCGCCCCCGATCCCTCCCGCCGCCCACCCCCATGTTTGCGTGGAAACCTCGCCAGGGAAAGCGCGATCCCTCGCCCACAGCCGTCTCTGAAGTGCGGAGAGTAAACTGGGGACGGGAGAGGAAGCACCCAGGCTGAAGGGGGCCCGGCCGGCCAGCGGCCCGCCTCGCTCCGAGGGAGGGCCGTGGCGACCGAGAGGAGCCAGCGAGTAGACACTCCCCGCCTCTACCCCTCCCTCTCCATCTCCCCACTCCGGGCGAGCCTGGAGCCACCGTGCGCAAAGCGTCCTAAGCACCCAGTTTGGCCCGGCAGAGAGACCCCCGACTTTGCAAGGAGCGTGGAGCCCCTCCTGCAGTCACGGGGGATCCGCCACCCCCACATATCAGCCGCCCCTGCTCCTGAGGCTCAGCCCAGGAAGGCACGCACAAGCACACCCGTTTTTATTAGCCTGCCCCGGCATGGGGGTTTGGGACAACTTTAAAGTGCGAACTGTGTTTGTAAGCTCGTGCACAAGCCAGGGATGGGCAAAGCGCCCCGTTTGCGTCCGAGTCTCAGAGCGTCCGCCGAGCCCTCGCGCGCCTGCCCGTGGTTTGCGTGACCCTGTGTGTGTGTGTGTGTGTGTGTGTGTGTGTGTGGTGTGTGTCCGCGCGCGTGTGTGTGCTCGCTCGCATCCGTGCCCGGGGCGCAACGCAAATCCGAAAGCGGGCCGCGGGTGCTGTCAGGCCTGGGGCGGGGGTGCCGGGGCGGTGTGTGGGGCGGGGGCCCGAGCTCCGCCCGCCCCGGGAGCCGGCCCCTTGGAGCCTCGGGCCCTGCAATGGGACGTGTTCTCCTTTAAGAGTTAAGAAACTTGAAACCTTGTTTGCGCAACAATCAGCGCCGCGGAGCCGCCAAAGTGTCTAGACTGGCATATGATGGGAGGCAGCCAATGACTCCGCGGCGCTCCTCCGGGGGCCCTCAGTGTGCGTTTGAGGAGAACAAAAAAGAGAGAGAGAGCCGAGCGGGGGAGCGATCGAGGGAGCCGAGCCGAGAGAAAGAGCCGCCGGGCGCTGCCTCGCCAGACCTCGCTGGGACCCGGGGGCCACCGGGAGGCACTTTTGCGGAGGGGGGAGGAGGGGCGACCTCGGCAGCCTCCGCGCCCGGAGCGTCCGAGCGCAGCGTGGGGCGGGCTGCGACCTCTGCCTCGGTGGACTGCATTTTAAATTAAGGATCCCAGCAGCTCTTTGGGATTTTTACAGCTTCCACTCATGTGCTGACACCCGCGTCCAGGAGAAACTTGCTCCAAGTGCATCTAGCGCCTGGGACCTGAGACGGAGTTGGCCTTTCGTGCATGCAAATCCAGGGATTTAGGTTTTGTTTGGGATTTCCTTTTCTTTCTTTCCTTTTTTTTTTTTTTTCCTTTTTTCTTTTTGCAGGGCGTAAGAAGGGAGCTGGGGGTATCAACAAGCCTGCCTTTCGGATCCTGCGGGAAAAGCCCATGTAGTTAAGCGCTTGGGTTTAAAAGGCAAGGCTTTCCATACACATTTGGGAGTTCGGCGCGAGCGCTTTGTGCTCATGGACCAGCCGCGCAACTTTTGAAGGCTCGCCGGCCCATGTGGGGTCTTTCTGGCGGCGCGCCGCCTGCAGCCCCCCTAAAGCGCGGGCGCTGGAGTTGTCGAGCAGCCCCGCCGCTGCGGTCCGTGTAGCCCCTGGCCGCGCGCGGACTGCGGCTCGGCGTGCGCGTGTTCCCGGCCGTCCCGCCTCGGCGAGCTCCCTCATGTTGCAGCCCTGCGGCGCCCCTTCGACGACAGGCTGTGCGCGGTCTGCGCGGCGCTCCGCGGCGGAGCTTCATGTGGGGCTGCGACCCGCGCAGCCGGCGCCTCGCTGAGGGAACGGACCCCCGGTAATCGGAGACCGCCTCCCCCCCACCCCTGGCGCCAAAGGATATCGTATGTTCAGGTCCAAACGCTCGGGGCTGGTGCGGCGACTTTGGCGAAGTCGTGTGGTCCCCGACCGGGAGGAAGGCGGCGACGGCGACGGCGGCGGCGGCGACGAGGATGGGAGCTTGGGCAGCCGAGCTGAGCCGGCCCCGCGGGCACGAGAGGGCGGCGGCTGCGGCCGCTCCGAAGTCCGCCTGGTAGACCCGCGGCGGCCCCGGGACGCAGTGGGACAGCGAGGCGCCCAGAGCGCGGGGAGGCGCCGGCGCGCGGGGGGCTCCCCCAGGCCCTTGTCGGAGCCGGGGGCCGGCGCTGGGAGCTCCCTGCTGGACGCGGCGGAGCCGGGAGGCCCGGGCTGGCTGCCCGAGAGTGACTGCGAGACGGTGACCTGCTGTCTCTTCTCGGAGCGGGACGCCAGCGACCCCCTGGCCGGCGCGGCCCTGGAGCCGGCGGGCGGCGGGCGGAGTCGCGAAGCGCGCTCACGGCTGCTGCTGCTGGAGCAGGAGCTCGAAGCCGTCACGTACTCGCTGCTGAAGCGGCTCAAGGAGCGCTCGCTGGACACGCTGCTGGAGGCGGTGGAGTCCCGCGGCGGCGTGCTGGGCGGCTGCGTGCTGGTGCCGCGCGCCGACCTCCGCCTGGGCGGCCAGCCCGCGCCGCCGCAGCTGCTGCTCGGCCGCCTCTTCCGCTGGCCCGACCTGCAGCACGCCGTGGAGCTGAAGCCCCTGTGCGGCTGCCACAGCTTCGCCGCCGCCGCCGACGGCCCCACTGTGTGCTGCAACCCCTACCACTTCAGCCGGCTCTGCGGGCCAGGTGAGCGCGAGCGCCGGCCGGGGAGAGGGGGCGTCCCCGGCTCCTCCTCCCGGTCCCCTTCCTTGCCCTTCTCTCCAACTGTGGCCCTGCGGGTCGGCGCAGCTGCGGGTGCTCCCCCGGGTGTCCTTGGAGCGTGGGAGCCCCTAGGGGAGGCGTCTCAGCCCGGCCCAGGGTAGTGGGTGTCCCAGCACACACATCAAGTGGCAGCTTTATCTCGAGGCTCCGGCAAACTTAAAAGGGTGTGCGTCGTAGTTTCTCTGTGCAGTTTCAGGGCCAGGATGTGGGCTCCAACTTCGTAGGCAGGGAAAGCAGAGGGCAGGCCGACGAGAGGTCGGAGAAGTAGGTGCTGTCTCCTCCTACCCCTATTCCAGAATCTGCCCCAGACTGTGCCCAGGCCTCTGGCATTTGTAGGCATGTGCCCATACCCACATTGTGCTTTTCTATGTCCAAGTAGCTGTAAGCTGTGAAATTGGGTGTACACGAATCACAGCTAGAATCAAGCGTTCATCAAATATCTCACTAATGCCTTTGTACACTTTGGACAAAGCTTTGCAGGGTAGCCTCTCTGGAGTAAAGAGCACCCTGCTTATTTCCCACATGCCATTACTCCCCACATCCCTTGGGTGTCAGGTGCCAGGATCTTCCATCCTCCTCGCATTGTTCAGCTTTTGTATAGCGTTGAGGGTCTTGCGGGCATCTATGAGTAGGTACAGAAGCCAGATACGTGATGACCTCTGAGCACTGTCCCCCTACTTCGTTCTCCTCTTGAGATTCTCTGCCCACACTCCACCCTCAGCCTTGCTCACCTGGCCAGGCCCCGGCGCTCAGGTCCAGAGAGGCGGAAGCCTCAGCAGGCCAGGAGCTTGCATTCGCCTTGCTCTGAACTCTGCCCTGCGGGGAACACACATGTTAGCTTGTAGCTGGTCTCTGAGGGATGTATGGGAATCCATGAGGTGGCACTGGGGTTTTGCAGGAGTGGGACTGTCAGGGAGTCGCAGGCTACGGAGCCCGGGAGGGCTCTGGGTCCCTCCATTCTGGCTTCCCCGGGGAGAGTCAGCACCCAGGTTGGGAGCTCGTAGAAGGTCAGATTGTAGGTCTCCCGACTCTCACTTTGGAAGGGGAAGGTGGGCCTGGGATCGTGCATTTGTCCCAGGTGTCTTGTTTGTGTGTGGAGTAGTTTCTGGAGAGGAAAGGAGGCTTTTCTTCAGTGATGTTTCCTGAATAGAGGGCATTGATGGGGGTGGGTGAGGAGGGGCTGTGTTGATCAGGCACCCCACTCCCCTCCTGGTCACTCCAGGCCCAGTTCAGGAGCCATGAGCAGTCTTGGAGCTGTGGCTCATGCCAGGGTTTCTGTGTACTTTTCCCCTTCCTGACAGCTTCCCTGAAAGTGGCTTTCTCTCCTCTTCGAACTCTGCCTCCTCCCTGGCTCTGGGGAAGGAGACCCTATTTGTGGTTGGCTGTCTTGCTCCTGGCCACCTTTTTCTTTTGTTAAGTGGGCCCATTCCACTCTGTAGAAGCCCCTGGCTGGTGTTTTTCTCTCTCGCCACTTCAGTGTGCCAACAAATGTTTGTTGAGCAACTACTCTGGGCCAGGCACTGTGCTGGGTGCTGTGGCTGGCAGAGTGGAAATATGAGTACGATCTGTGCCCTCAAGAAACATAATCCCCTGGGGGATTTATGGGGAAGAGATGGGGGAAGAAGGGAAGTGTGCAGGGCCAGGTCTGTGGGTCTGAGCTACCAGAAGGCCGTGGGTGTGTATGTAATAGGATCACCTGCAGGAGCTCTGCAGCTCCAACCTGAAGCAGGGCCTTGGAGGATGGGGCAGAGGAGAGGGAGCCAGCCAGCTCAGAGTCAAGGTGCCAGGCACACTCAGGTGGGTGAGCAGGGAGGGGAGGTATGAAAAAGTTGGAGGCAATGGACAGAACCACTCCTGCTACTACTCCCTGGACTAGGAGTTGGCGTGGGTGTTGGTTTGCATTTGGTGGTCTTGGACAGGTACAGGTCAAGGGGTACCTGGCAAGCTGGGGTGGAGTGGTTCTTAACTATGGACCTAGTCCTGGGCTCTGCCCAGCTAGTAACCTGCAGCTTGCCTTTGGATGAGTTATCTCCCCTGTCAGCCACCGTGGTGGTCAGTGGGGGTGGCTCTGGGAACGTTCTCCCCATCTAAACCTTAGGACGTGGTTCTTTTCCTTCTCCCAGAAGGAGGCGCTGTTGCGGGGGGGCTGCAGCACCCCGAGTCTCCTCCCTTTCCTCTTTGCTAGCTGCTGGTCTCTGGGGGCCCCCATTCAGCCACCCTAGGGACAGCTGGGAGGACCGATGGCCAGGGAAGAGTTTCCAGTCTGTGCCGCTGGCCTGAGAGCTGGGGGAGCCCTGGGCTGCCCACCCCGCCCCCGCCGCCTGGCCGCCAGCCTGGCTCCCGTAACTGGGCGGGCGCATAGCTGGGGCTCAGCCGTGCGCGTCCTGATAAGGAGACTGCTCCTTCCAGGGCTCTGGGGAGAGGGCCGGGCACCGGGCAGGCAGACGCGCGCACACAGCGCAGGCACACAGCTAGCGAGCAAAGTACGCTGGAACACTGGCAAAGGGGGACTCCCACCTGGCAGCAGTCACACCCCTCCCCCCCACCTCCACGGGCCACTGCAGGGAGCCCCAGTGACAGGAGACCCCTCATTGGCAGTGTGGACCCCCTGCCGTTCAGAGCCCACTCTCCATCCGGGTCAACTTGCTTTGGAACCTTGGGGCAAATTTCCCCTTTGGGCTTCTTTTCCCATCTCTAAAGTAAGGGGTTGGAGGGAATCCCTGAGGGCTGATGTGCGGATGCCAGGCCACAGAGGCCTCGTTCCCGTCCCCTGCTCTGCTCCAGGCTGGTCTCAGAAATTGGGGTCCTCAGCAGGGAACCCGCCTCTGCTGGGCACGGGCTGGGGGCCTCCTTGCCTCTCAGCCCGTGGGAGTCAGGCCCAGCTCTGCCTCCCCCTTGGGTGTCTTTCTGTCCCAGGAAAAGCCAGTTCGCTGAGCTCGGTGGGTGCCTATGTGGACGGAAATGTGGAGAAATACTTTAATCACAGCTCTAACCTGTGTTTATAGAGCTCCTTTCTCCTGAAAGTATCCATTAACTTTGGAATAAATCTCCTGCTCTTTGCTTCCCCACTTTTTTTTTTTCTGTAATTATATTCTGTAAATTACTATTATCCAAATTGCGCCCGGGGAAGAGAGACAGAGCGAGAGAGAGAACTTCTAAACGACTGGAGGAGGCCGCCTAGGAAAACACAGGGTTCCCAGGCCAGGACCATAGGAATTAGAATGGGCTAGAAAGTTTTCCTTTTATTTGGCCTGGCATTATCCCTTTGAAATGAGATCAATTTCAAGTTGGGCTTCCAAGCCCCCGCCCCGCCCAGCTCAGCGGCCCCTAGCCCTGCTTGTCTGCTCCTCCTAGCTCCTCCTGGAGGTGAGGAAGGGGTGATAATGTGCAGTTTGCCTCTTGCTGGCGCCAGCCGGCCGCGCTGTTTATCTGGCTGCCAGGGGAATCTGGGCAATTAGGCTCAGCCGGCCTTAAAGTGCCAGGAGCTCCTTTTCTGCGTCTCCCATCATGGGGCTTAGGGTTGAGTCTTCAGGTTCCGGGGGCAGGAAGGAGGGGCACTCAGGAGACCCCCTCCCCCCCCACAGCCCCTCTTTGGGAGGGGGGAGACTTGGCAACTCGGGAGGCATGTGGATCTTTTCCTAAGCAAGATGCTGAGCTGCAGAGATGGGGGTGGAAGGTAAATGTCCCAAACTGAAACTTTGCCAGGCACTGGGAGAGGCTGTGAACTCTTTTCTGGCTTTAGAATTTAGGTCTAGATCCCAAAAGGCTAAGTACCCCCTGGGGGCCAACCAGAGGCTTGCCTGGGCTGAGCTGAACCTTCTGGCGCACTGGCCCCTGGCTGACTGCTCCTGCTTCTGAAGGAAGTTGGAGGAGATTCCTAAAGTGGATGCCTCAGGCTGGATGTCCAAGGGGCTGGAGTTTCTGATGTCTTCCAGTCTCCCTCTCTTTTCATTTTCTCTTTACCAGGTCCACTTCTTTCAGAAGAAAGAAGTGGTGCTCTAAAAGTTCTCCTGTTAAAATTTAGAGCATATTGGCTATTTTAAAATCAACACAACTTCTAAAAGTACTAGAGTGGACAGAGGGCCTGGTGGCAGCTCAGTTTCTCTTCTGACCTTTGGTCTCACCCACCACGTGTCCCACCTGAGTGCCCACCTGAGGTAACATCCCGGGGCTCCGTCAGTCCAGGTCCATGAGGCGCAGCTTTGTGGGAGTGGCAGCTGATTCGTACCCAGTAGTGTTCATAGCACATTATTTGTAACAGCCAAAGAGAGGAAGCAACCCAAATGTCCATTAGCTGATGAATGGGTAAACGGAATATGGTACATTCAAAGAATGGACTATCGTTCAGCCATGAAAAAGAATGAAGGACAGTACCGAAACATGCTACGACATGGATGAACCACGATGATTGTCCCACATGAAAGAAGCAGCCAGCCACAAAGGCCATATGTTGTATGATTCCATTTAAATGAAATATCCAGAAATGGGCAAACCCATCGAGACGAAAGTAGGTTTGTGGTCACCCAGAGTTTTGGGGTTGGGGTCTAGGAAGTGACTTCTAATGGGGATGATGTTTCTTTTTCTGATGAAAAAAATGTGTTTAGATTGTGGTTGATGGTTGCACAACACTGTGAATATACTAAAAACCACCAAATGGTATATTTTAAAAGGATGAATCTTAGGGTATGTGAATTATATCTCAATTTTTGGAAAGGGTTACCTGATACTGGTTTCCAGCTGGTCTCTCCTATTCCCCCGTTACGCCTGCAGCCTACCTTCATGTGTGGCCTTTTGGGCACGTCCTTCACCAAGTGGGACCTCAGTTTTCCTATCAGTAAAAAGGAGTTGAGTTGGGAGAACCCCAAAGCCCCTTCTGTCTCTGGCACTCTAAATCCTCGTGTTGTGGGGTGGAGTCTAAAGCCTTCATACTTTTTAAGAATCATGGAATCTCATTATTAGCTTTCAGTCTCTGCAGTTGGTAAACAGTTGTGTGCAAAGCATTTTGCCAGAGCCAATAGTGGGAGCCTAGTGAGGTCCTTCCTGAGAGCTTTACAGTGCTCCACTAGCTGGCATGTCTCATGGTTCAGGTTCATGGATTTTCTTTCTATCTCACAACGTTGGAAGTCCCAACTCAGCTATGGCCATGGGTAGTGAGTGTCACAACTCAAGGCCCAGGTAGCTCTTCCAGGTGGGAGTTCATGAGCCCTTCCTGCCTTTCGCCTTTTGAGCCCCAGGCAAGCAGCCCTGAAGAGATGCTGGCATTGGTTACAGAGGCTTGACTGCAGCCACTACTGCCCATTGTTGTTTCACCTCTGGGGACAAATCTGGGGGGCAGATGTCCAGAGCTCCATGCCATGTGTGGCCTGGGCCTCAGCCAATCAGATTTTTGCACAGGTAACCCTATGGATTTGCAGGCTTTCTGATAAGCTCATGGGGATCGCGGAAAGGGCATGGAGGTCAGAGACCTGGCTTTGGTTCTGGCTCAGTACCTGACTCCTGAGGGGTCACTTCCGCTCGCCGGGCTGCAGTCTCCTCCTCTGTACGGTGGGAGCACTGGCCTCAATTCTCTTTCTTCGTGGAACTCCAGCCCTTCCTATACCCTGCGTCTTGTTCTGAGAGGCTGCTCTTCACTCAAGGCTGGCCTCTAGGCCTGAGGGACCCCTAGGTCCTCCTTCTGCACGTCTTTGTCCACAGGTGCATTCAACTTTACCGTTATCCTCATCCCAGTTGCCTTTGTCCATATTTAGTGAGCACGTTGCGAGCAGGTGGTGTCCCAGACCCAGCGGGGATGAAGGGGTGTAAGACAGGGCATCTCTTGATTCATCTCAGCAGGTGGCAGAGCAGAGTCAGGCCTGGACTGGAATCCCAGCTCCGCCATGACTGGCTCAGGGGACATGCGCAAATCAGTTTTCTCATCTGTAAAATGGGGATAATAATGCCATCTCATTTATTTTTTGTTTTTTTAAGAAAGGATGATATAAAAATAGGTGCCTGATGAGCATGATTAACTACTCTGTACCTGAGGTCTGAAACAATAAAATACAATAAATAAAATGGAAAGTGATTGGCAGGGAGTGGGATACAAGGTAGGCACCAGGAAAACGGCTCTTTCAGAGGCTACTCTCTGATTCGTGTTTCCTTCTCCCTAACATCTGGTCACAGAAAGTCTGTTTCTAAACCTCAGAGCCTTCACTTTGTTGGAAGTAACTGGGAGCTGGAAAAGCCAGGGTAGGGAAGAGGAGAAGCCTCACTGGGTGTACGGAGCAAAACAAATGCTCCTACAACTAATTGTGCCCTATTACAATTGGGAAAAACACTTATTACCCCTTGTGTCATTACTGATACCCACCTAATAATAGTTATTACCAGTTTATTACCACTGAGAGTTTGTTTTAGTTTGCGATTTGATTGTGTTTAGTTTCATTTACAGAAAATGAGGGGTCATTTCATTCATGCAAATTGTTACTTAGTTTAGTAAATTGTTACTTCCCGTAAAGCAAGAAGCTAAGGAATTCTTCTGAAGGCAAAGTATATGTTTTTAAGGAGGAGTATTTTAGGCAAATGAAAGGAAACCCAAAGAAAAATATCATAGACAATAAGGAATCGTAGTGTCTGAGCTATAGAGAGCTTGTGTTTCACCCCTGTCCTTTGCAAAAGGGGAGACTGAGGCCAGGAGCTGGAAGTGACTGGCTTAAGGCCTCCTGTTGACATAGCTGGGTTTGGCCTTTTGGGTCCTAACTCTTTCCACTGTCCTCCCCTGCACCTAGGAATGCTAGCTCTCATGCAGCTTGTTTGGACATGAGTTTCCGTGTCTGGGCCTTTGCACTCACACTTGGCTCTGACTAGGCTTGCCAAATTTAGCAAATAAAATGCAGGATGCCCAGTTAAATTTGAGTGTCCGATAAACCACACACCGTATCTTAGTGTATGCATGCCCCCGGTATTGAAGGGGACACAGCCATACTACAAAGTGATGCCATGTTGATCCAAAATTCAAGTGTAACTGAGCATTCGGTGTTTTACCTGGCAGTCCTGGCTCTGACTTCCCCTGCACTCACGTTTCTCTTGTTAAAGTAATAACAGTTACTGTTTGTGGAGGTGTTTCTCAACAGTGCCAAGAGCTGCACTAAGCATTTTACGTACATTATCCCAGCAAACCTGGGAGGTCTAGATGATTATTATCCTCATTTTAGAGCTGAGGAAACAGGCTCAGAGAGGCAAAGGAACTTGCTTGAGGTCACACAGCCAAAGCTGGCAGAGCTGGGATTGAGCCCATATCTGTCTGCGCCCCAAGCCTGTGGCTTTAACTGTTGAGGGGATTTGGGCAGCAGAGGAGGTGGGACAAAGTGGGGAGGGAGGGCTTCCTGGAGGCTGAGTTTACTATTGGAGGAAACCAATAATTAAAAGCATGTAGAACCTGAGGTGTGAGTTCCCCCACCCTGGCAGTGACACGCTGTCTTCTGTCTTCCAGAATCTCCACCACCTCCCTATTCTCGGCTGTCTCCTCGCGACGAGTACAAGCCACTGGGTAAGTGTGCCCTCCTTCCTCCCCTCGCGGAGGTGTGTCCCTCACTGGCTCCCCTTCAGCCCAGGGTCTGTCCAGCTTCCGGGCTGGAGGGCTGGAGGGGAGGGGTGGAAGCCGGGCTGGTTGCTGTGAAGTGGGGTGAAGTTATACAGACCCTCCCACAGTTGGGCCAAAGCAGACCCAGCTTCTGCAGCAGGCTATTTACATCTAGAATTCCACGGCTCATCATTAGCCTCTCGGTGACCTTTAAACATGGGCCTGTCGGAGATGAATGGGTTTTGACTTAAGTATCTCACTGGAGGTGGGTTGGTATTTCTGTGCCTCTTCTGTCTGTCTCGGGCCACCCCCAGCCTTGGGTTATTCTCCTTTCGAGTGTATTAATTAGTAGTATGACAAATAGGTTGGGCATGAAGTCTTTGTAGGGAGGAGCTGTATATTTTCCCCCTTTTTAAGCCAAGATGTTCACTTGAGCAGAAACAACAGTCGGAGTGTTAGAAAGGAATGTATATTGGTACACAAAGCCCCTGGCGTGCGCTGTCCCCTAGGTGAGTTTAGTGGAGTTGGTAATGTCATTTTAGACAACTCCCATTCAGAGGCAGAACGTGCGTTCTGTAAAACCTTGAGCCCAGGTGATCAGCCCATATTCTGGGGTAGATGCAAGTGGTTTCGAAAGTAGAGATTGTTGGCTCACACCTATAATCCCAGCACTTTGAGAGGCTGAGGCGGGCAAATCGCTTGAGGTCAGGAGTTTGAGACCAGGCTGGCCAAATGGTGAAACCCCGTCTCTACTAAAAATACAAATACTAGCCAGGCATGGTGGTGCACATGGTCCCAAGTAGCTGTAATCCCAGCTACTTGGGAGGCTGAGGCAGGAGAATTGCATGAACCTGGGAGGCAGAGGTTGCAGTGAGCTGAGGTCACACCACTGCACTGCAGTCTGGGCTACAGAGTGAGTGAAACTCTTGTCTCAAAAAAAAAAAAAAAAAAAAGTAGAGATTGTGGCTGGGAATGATGGCTCATGCCTGTAATCCCAGCATTTTAGGAGGCTAAGATGGGAGAATTGCTTGAAGCCAGGAGTTTCAGACCAGCCTGGGCAACATAGCAAGACCCATCTCTATAAAACATACAAAAATTAGCTGGATGTGGTGGCTCAGGCCTGTAATCCTAGCTACTTAGGAGGCTGAGGTGGGAGGATCATTTAAGCCCAGGAGTTCGAGGCTGCAGTGAGGTATGATTGTGGCACTGCCCTCCAGCCTGGGTGACAGCAAGACCCCATCTCTAAAAGAAAGAAAATAAAAGTGGAGATTACTTGGCTCTCTGTTTCCTCTAGTGGGAGTTCAGAGCATGGGTTCTAAGGCAGAGAAGCGATGGAGTCTACAGGATCTTGATCATGGGGCAAGTTAGTTTGGCCCTGACAGTACCAGGAGAGCAGCTGTGTGGCCTGAGCAGTCCCACGGGACCAAAGCTTTAAAAGTCAGATGGCGTGGCCACGATGCTGAAACTTTCCACCAAGTGACCACTTTTACTGGGTTGTGTTTGGTTTTTGGTAAGGGCCTCCTCCCAGCAGCGTGTCAGCATCACCTGGGAGGTCACTTCTTAGTGTCGTAGATGTTCAGGCATCTGCCCCAGTTTTCCTTCCAGACCCCTCACCCGCTGTGAAGTCAGGCATGCCCACCAGCCCCTTCAGGAGTGTGACCTTCTCAGGCTAGGTGGGCAGAGGCTGTCCCATGAGGGTGTGCGGCAGCCAAACCATGGTGGCCACCCTGTTGTTTGTTCCAGAAGTAGGATTGTCCCATGTGTCGGGGAGCCTTAGCTCTCTGGGGAACTGGAGAGATTCTCTGGTGGGACCTTGTCATGTAAGAGATGAAGCATCAGGCTGACTGAGGGCGAGGAGCTGCCCAGCTAATGAACAGCAGGGTTGAGGCACAAACTCAGAGCAGCCCCCACTCAGGTCCGTGGCTCGCTGTCTTTCCCTCGTAGGCCCGTCTCAGCATTTTCTAAGTCAGCATAATTGCACTAGTTGTTTGCAAGATCCCCGGTTCCATTAGAGAAGAAAACCCTCAAAAGTTCTTAGTGAAAGTTCTTAGCACCTCAGTTTGAATGTCAAGGATCATCGCCCTGAAGGTTTGTCAGTCAGCCTGTGATAAAGCAGCAAAAATCAGGACACTGTCCAGCCCTGCAGAGTGACCATGTGGAAACCAGCAGTTGTTCCCATGATTTTACGAATGAAACCACTGAGGCCCAGAAAGAGGAAGTGACACTTACCGGTGGTCAAACGGCTCAGCCCGTCACCTGTTTGTATATGCCTTGCAAGTTGAGAATGGCTTTTATTTTTGAAGTCGTTAAACAAAAAATCAAAAGAAGCATACTAGTTTGTGACACCTGAAAATGACATGAAATTCCAATTTTGGTGTCCGGAAGTAGAGTTTGACTGGCATGCAGCCAGGCTTGTCCATTTCCATTTTGTCCATGGCTGCGGCAGAGTTGTGTGGTTGCGGAAGAGAGTGTATAGTTCACACAGCTGAAAATGTTAACCTCTAGCCCTTTATAGCTAAAGCTGTTGAGCCCTGATGTTGCTTGACTAATAGTCAATCACTTCGGGAGGTGGGGACCCAAACCTGGGGCTCCAGCTTGCAGGGGGAGCTCTCCATCCTCAAGGCTTGAGCAGCGATGGAGGCTGGGAACGTTCTTCTGCACAGCAGCCATGGAGACACTGTCCAGGGCCTCACTAGAAACACTAGATGTGAGGGTTTGGCACGGGCGTGTTAGGGACTTCCTAGCTGTGAAAGGTGGAAACCGCCTGTCGTTCCCACTCTTCTGGAAACCTCACAATGCTGTCTGTGTTGGCTGTAAGGCAGTTCACTGAGAAATAGGACTCGGCTTGTGAGGTTGCTGCTTCAAATGAGAAGTGGCAGCGGGGCTCTGGGCACAGAGCACTTTGGGAACATTAGGTATTAAAAGCAACACTCTTTTAAGAAGTTCCCACTTGAGCATTGAGGTTTTGTTTGTTTGTTTGTTTTAAAGCTTTTTCTGTGCGTCCTTATTTTTCTCCTAAATGTTTCACCAGCAGATAACTTTTTCATTCCCTGATAAATAGTCCCAGGTTATTTTTTGGGAAATAATGTCTCTTCCTTGCATTGTTGCTTTTTCATAAACAAAAAGCCAGTTCACTTCTAAGCCTCTGTGATCACATGAGAGCAAAAAACAAAATAAAACCCAGAACACCCAGTCAGCATCTGGCAAGTGGGAACGAGAGAGGGGGGAAAAAAAGGCCAAATTGGTTAATGTTTTATCTTCCGGCTCCTCAAGCCATGTGGTAAAAGGAAAAAAATTCCTGCAGGATCAAATGGAATTCCAGCTAGTGAGGGCCTAGGCGAACGGTTCCATCCCAGAATCCCTCGCCTGGGGTAGCTCTGCTGGGCCAGGTGGGGCCACCTGAGCCGGTCCTGGGTTGTGCTAGGTGAGAAGATGAATGTGCTGTAGGCCATCTAACGCCTGGACAGGCCTGTCCCTTAACAGGGACAACACCCATTGCTGGTAGCAGAGGCACAGGCCCAGGAAAAATGTTCCAAGTCTACCTGTCCCAAAAGCCATTGGCTTGCCAAGCCAGCAGCTCAGTGTTCTAGAGAAAATGTGCAAAAGAATTTCTCTTTCTTATCTAGCTGTACTGCAGACAGAGGAAAACCAACAATGTACAATTTTAAAAAAGAAGAATGCCCTGAGAAAAACAGTCCAGGCTTTGAAAGTTGCTCTGTGAGCAGGTTTGGGTGTCAGGGAGTGGGGGAGGGGAGGGAAAAAACAAAGTTAATCTGGGGAGCAAACGCTTGAGCCCTTAATTAGAGGGGTGTAAGCAGGACAGAGTGAGGATGGCTGGTGACTTGTTAAAACAGTTTCCCCAGCTCCAGCGGGAGGGAGGAAGGAAGGAAGGAAGAAAGGAAGGAAGGAAGCAAGAAGGAACAGCTTCAAGAATTTTAATGGTTGTAATTAAGAATAGCAACTATGAATTGTTTAGGGGCTTAATTTAACCTTACCCACGGAGGCTCCAAGTTGCTACTTGCTCTGTCCCCTGAACTTGGGCTATTTCTGTGGTCAGGGCAATTGCAACGTTTTCAGGTACCAGCTTCACTAGTCAGCATTTTCCAGAAGAGCTCCTGGGCTGGCTGGTCTGGTCTGGGGTGACCCTGAGGTGGGGTTACAGGGTGACATCGGAAAGTCGGGAGGGACATGCTGCCCTTTGCAAGCACACACATCCACACACGTGCACACATACACAGATGCATGAGAAAGAAGCAGAAAGAGCGTGCTGCCCCACGGCCAACTAAGTTCTCTTTTTCTTTCCTCCCACAGATCTGTCTGATTCCACACTGTCTTACACTGAAACAGAGGCCACCAACTCCCTCATCACTGCTCCGGGTGAATTCTCAGGTCGGCAGTTTTTCTTCTTGTCCATTGCTGTGGTGTTGAAATTTATCAAAGGGGACTGCTGCGGAGGGGGCTTGGTGGGGGGCTTGTTGACTTCCCCTCTTCTTTTTGTTTCCCTTCTCCTCCAAATCTTTGGATGGGAAGATTGCCCGTGTTTCACTCGCTGGTGTTCTTGGGGTTAAGAACAGTTCGTGCGAGTGAAACTTGAAGATAACTTTTAAAGCCCCTGCCTACCACGTTTTAACCAGTTGTCTCTGTCTTGTCTCTCTTGGAAAGGATAGAAGCCCAGCACAGCTCTCCATCTCTTGTTTTAGTAAGGATCCTCTTCCCCCGCTGCGAGAGGCAGCAAAGTGCTGTGTTACACGTTTATCTTCCTCCTGTCCCCACTCTGGGGGAGGGACTGATGTGAAGGGTTAGAAGATTGGGGGAAATGAAGCCGGCTGAATGAACTTGCAGGGAGGATCTGGCAAGTGAGGAGTCTGGCAAAGGCCAGTGGTTTCTGTGTCTCTCCCTGAGCAGCGGAGGCTGGGATAGAAGCCAAGGGAACCCTGGTTTGGAGTCCTCTAGCCCCTGCAGTTAGAAGCTGGTTGTGGGGACCCCCGTATCTGGAGGAATACCCGAATCAAACTTTCCTTGAGAAATGAGAGGCTGGTGTTGGACTGGGGACATCGAGGACCAGGGGCAAGGTCTGTGGGGCCCTTTTGGGAGCATGGCTGGTGGGCTTGTGGCCTGGGGGTGTGCTGGCTGGGACTGACAGCCCCTCAGGCTGGGGCTGCATCCCTAGTGGGTATGGCTGGCTGGCTGCGTGTCTCCGTCGGAGCCATTCTTCCCTTGTCCACATCCATGCATGGCAGCAGCTGCAGTCATCGTAGCCATTTATTGGTATGCCATGGCCGGACACGCCACTCAGCTCCCTTTATGTGCATTCTCCGGGAGCAGCCGCAGGCTGTTTGCCTCCAGGGCCTGTGCTCCCCATCACTGTTTGTCTCCCACTTTTCTGCAAGGGCCAAATGCACCTTCGATAAATGTATTTCTGTAAAGTTCCATCATTCTTGATATAGACTCTCTGCAACTCTTAAGGATAATGCAGCTCTGGCTGCTCACGGCTGCCTGGGCATTTCCCCAGCCCAGAGCCTTTGCCCATCCATTCCCTTCTCACCGAGGCAGGGGAGCTTACAAGAGTAGGTTGTTGCAAAGATGGAGAGGCTGGAAGCAGAAGCAGGAATGTGACTTGCCACACAGGGTTCCACAGTGGGCAACCTGGTACTGGGGTCCAGGTGATGCTGGGGTCCAGGTGATGCTGGGGTCCAGGTGGTGCTGGGGTCCCTGTGATGCTGGGGTCCCTGTGATGCTGGGGTCCAGGTGATGCTGGGGTCCAGGTGGTGCTGGGGTCCAGGTGATGCTGGGGTCCAGGTGGTACTGGGGTCCAGGTGATGCTGGGGTCCAGGCCTTCTGGGTCTTACCCCTCAATGCCTTCTGGTCTCTAGTGGCCCACCCAATTAGGGTACTTCCTTCTCTAATTTCTTCCTCTCAAAGACCAACCAGATGAACACAAGTTAAAATTTCAACCCTTTCTTTTTCCTCTGTACCTACATGAATGAAAGCCACATATAATTTTGAAGCAAGGCGCTTAAAAGTATTTCTGAATTTATGACTTTATGTCACTGCCAGCCCTCAGAGTATACTTGATTCAGATGGATTGCGTTGGCATTGGTTGGCTGGACAGATGGGTAATTTTTTGACATCCTCTTTCTCCCAATTGCTAATGTCAGAAAGTCCGTGGTGTGTGTGTGTGTGTGCGCGCGCGCACATGTTCACGTACACACACACATCTTAACAGTTTTAAGGTGTTTGCAGATGTAGTCTTATTTGATCCCAGCCATTCCAGAGGGAGCCTGGTGTGGCTCAGGCTAGAAGGACCAGACCCCCAAGCACTGGCAGAAGGCCCCTCCCTCAATCTGGAGGCTGGGAGGTCTCTAGAGACCCCTAGGCCATTCGTTTTGTTGACTTTGGGCCTCACTGGGCCTGTTTCTGAGATTTCTGCCCGGATATCCCAGAGCAGTCTCTGGTACTGGTTAGTAAGAAGGTCCCAGCCACTCTTGATGGTGCAAAAGGACTGTGTTGGAAATGTATCCAATGACTTAGAATTCTAAGGGGTAGAAGGCTTTGGGGAAGAAATTGGGGATTTCGTATGCCAAGGACATTGAGTGAGGTCTTGAAGGACTTAGGTCTGAATTCTGGGTGGCCTCAGTATTTGAGTGGAGTGTTTCCCTTTGTGTCCTCCCAGTCCCTTCCAGAGATGCCATGCATAGAATGTCCCCTCTCTCCTGAGGGCCCACTGTTAGCTTTCCCAGCTTGCTCTGTGCTATGGGGATCTGAGGTCCTGTGGGTTAAGCTGCCCACCTGCCTACTGGGAGCCCACAGACATGGGGGTGTGCTGGCTGTCACACTGGAGGACATATTCAGGAAGGGAAATGGCCTGGGGGTGACAGGTCTTGGTGGGTGGTGAAGGCATGAATCTTCCTGCAAGATGGAATGCAAGATTGTGTGGGAGGGCGGGGCCGGAGGTGAAGTCAGAAAGGTAAGAGGCAGAGGTAGGCACCATATGTTGGGCCAGGCCAGGGTATTTGATGTCTAAGGACAAATGATGATGGTGCTGATGATGACAGCAGTTGACATTTATCGACACTCACTATGTGTCAGGCACTTTGCTAAGCTCCAGCATTCTTCATTTCAGTGATTTCTTTCCATGACCCAGTGAGACAGGTGTGATTCTCCCCATTTCATAGAGGAGGAAACTGAGGTTCATTGCTGGACCAACTGCCCATAATGTAAGTGGCAGGCTTGGAATGTAAGCCTCGACAGTGTGACTTCCCAGCTCCCACCCTGAGAAGCCCCGCCCAGCGTTCCACAAGTGCCCTCATCCCCTTCCCCAAGCTAGACCCGGCAGGAGCAAAGTAAAATGATCACAAGGAGCCTGGGGGCACCTGTCCTGATTTAAGTACCGGGGAAAGGGATGAGGAGCCTAGCAAGGGTGCAGGGCGGCTCCATGCCCTTCCAGGCCACCACTGGACAAACCTGCGGACCACCCGGAGATCACACCACTTGGCTGCCTGGCCCTCCATCTCCCTGTGTCCTGGCGGTCTGCCGATCCCGAGAGCCTTGTCACCCTCGGTGTCCTGGGATGGATGTCATCCTCAAACAGGGTCTCTGCAGCCCCACGATGGAGATTGCCCTTGTTTGTCCCCCAGGAGGACAACCCCAGTGCTGGGCCTGGGACTCTGTGTTTTATCCAGCTCCATGGTCTCTGCTTTACTTCCGTGTCCTGTTGTTGAGGCCACTTAGGGGAATGGTGGGGTTCTTGAGGCTTAGTCCCATGCGTGGGCAGGCAAGGATGCTTGAGTGGGCAGAGCGAGGGGCCGCAGGAAGGGAGACACACTTGCTTCAGCTCTCTGCTGAGTAGTTGATGGAAAACCTTTATTTGATCTCTATGTCAGCTCCCAATTTGGATACGTGATCTCCACTAAACAGTGTAGAGGGGGCAAGTGGCTTCACCAAGGTCACTGGGGAGGGAAGTGGTGGAGGAAGGCTAGAATGCAGAGCTTTTACCAAATCCGAAGACCTTACACCTGGAGTCTTCGATGGGATTTGGGAAAAATTAAAAGCCTAGAACTTTTGGAGTCCCTTCAGAACTCTGGCACTCTGGTTTCCTCGCCTAATTCAGGGCCTGGGGTGCTGTCCCCTGCCTGTCCAAGGCCTCTGCCAGGCAGTATTTCTATTCCTCTTCCATTTGCTTGATTTCAGTTTAGTTTGGGGAAGAAAAGAAGAGAAGCTAGTTTAAGAAATTCATACTAAGGTGTGAGTGGCTGGTAGGCACACTTTTTTTTTTTCCCAACTTTAAATTAGAACATGCCATAAATCTCAGGATTGCAGGATGAAGGAATGGCAGCTCCGAGAAAGGCTGGTGGCAGAGGGCAGGGTTCTCTCAGCATCTCTGAATCCAGCCTAGAAAAACAACGAACATGTCATAAGGAGCTTTAAGCCTTGGGTGAGGGAAGGAGCCCTGGCCAGGCCGGGCTGGGTGAGCTCTGAGTCACTTAGCAGGAACCTGATGTGGTGGAGCTGCTGAAGCACCCAGGCCTGCCTGACTCCCTGCTTCGGGGCTGGGGACAGGTCACTGGGCAAGCTTCTTTAGGACAGTGGCTCCCCTGTACTCTTATTCTAGAACCTGTAAGGTGACCATTCAGGTGCTTTATTAAGCACCCTGCCCCTCAGTTTTCTCACCTGTGAAATGAGGATGGTAATACCAACATACCCCTAATGATGAGGGTTAAATGAGATACTTTGTCCCTGGCAGGGTCTGGCTTGGGGAAGAGGGTGGGGCTGCCTGTTGTGGAACATGGGGCAGAGCCCTCAGGGTGGGAGCTGGGTAGTCACACCGTCCAGCTGTATGCAGGGCACGTATACACTGCACATCACTGAGATGGGGCAGTCCTTTCTGGGACCTTGGCCGTGTGTGCCTGGGATCTCAGTACTCACAGCATGTGGGTTTCTTTAGAGCTGTGTTATTGAGAGCTGGCCTCCGGCCCCTCAGTTTAGAAAGGAGAATTCCCAGGGAAGGAAGGGAGCCACGTTAGACTACATGGAGAGTTGGGGGCTGAGCTGGATGGAAGTGTCTTTCCTCCACCAACCGGACCGTAAGCTCCTTGAGGGCACAGATCATGCTGTAGATTGTTGCGTTGTGTAAGGTGGCAGAGTTTGGGAACAGAGGCTCAGGGAGGTTGGGAGACTGGCTCAGAGCCACCCAGCAAGCACAGCTGTGTGGACCCACCTAGGGTTGCAACCTAGGTGGGTCCATACTGCTTACCCACCCACCACGTGATAGGAACTGTGCCTGCCATTTGCCATTTCAGGGGTCACTTGGGGTCGGTCCTGTCTGGTGTCATCGTCGGTGCCTGCTGAAGCTGGTAGAGGAGTGTATGTGTGCAGTGTCATTTCCTGCTGCTTTCTTGATTACAGGGACCCAGTGCTCTCATTCGACACCCTCATGTAACAGACTCTAGGGTTCTGTGTCCCGAGGTGTGCGGTTCAGCACATTCAGTGTGTTCTGAGTCCCAATAGCTGCGTGGGCCGAAGGGCATGGGCTCTGCACCCTTATGCCCAGCGATCAAGCCTTGAGCTTGCCATCTATTAGTTGTGTGACCTTGGGAGAGCCTCTCAGCTGCTTTGTCCCTCAGTTTTCTCACCTGTAAAATGGGATGATATAACAACGTATTCCTAGTGGTGAGGGTTAAATGAGATGATGCCTTTGAGTCAGCCAAGGCCTGGCACACTGTATGTGCTGGGGGTGGCCATTGCAATGTTCCAGGCACTGTGCATAGGGCTAGGGGTACAGAGATAAAAGTTACTTTATTTCTGCCCTCAAGTTATTCACAGGTAGGTAAAGACACAAACAGTGACAACAGACAGTCCAGAGGAAGAAGGGATTAGTGATCAACTCTTGGCTTGGTAGGGAGGTAGCTCAGGAAGACTTCCTGGAAGAGGCGATATCCATGTTGGGTTTTAAAGAATGAATGGAAGTCAGAAAGACAGGATTTGGAGCATTCCAGGTAGAAAGAATAGCAAGTGCAAGGACCTGGAGGCGTGAAGAGAGCTTGATGTTGAGAAACCAGAGGAGTTTCAAGGGACTGGGAAGCAAAGCGCCAGATGTTGGTGGGAGGCGAGAGGGGTGGAGGCCAGGACCCGGGAAAGATTTTATTTTAACTTTTTTCTAAATATGCAGAGTGCACATATAAGTGCCCAGCTCAGTGAATTTTCATGGGGTGATCACACCTGACCGATAGACAGGGCCTGCAGAACGTTGGGGTCACATGATGATGCCAAAACCTGTCACATGACATGCTCATTGCCTGTGGGCCTGGGGCACTGTGTGCAGAGCTTTCACAGAGAAAGCAGGAGGGCAGGGGATACAATGCATTTTAGCTGAAAAGAATGTTTCTTTAGGTTTTGGAGAGCAGGAAGGGTATTTCATCTGGGGTGAATGGTGCCCTGAAACCGTCAGACCTGAACCTGGCCTGGCCCCCATGGGTTTAAGAGGTGGCCCTCGGGTGTGACCTGTGCCCACTCTGCGTATCCCCAGAGGTCAGGCTCCAGCCCAGAGGCGGTGGACAGGTTGTCAGACTGACACCGATTCTGGCCAGCACCAGCCTGCCATTTCCAACTCAGAAATGGGTGGGGGAGAAGGAGCATTCAGCTCCAGTTCCAAACGGACAGTATTTACTACTCACATCAGACCCCTGCCATGTGTCTTTCTAGCTTTGACCAACCAAAGGGAGAAAAAAAAAGTGCCTTCCCTTCCTAACTCCTCGTGAGCATCTCCCAGTACCCATTCTTCCTGGGCTGAGGTAGAGGTGTCAGGGGCGGTCAGCAGGAGTGAAGGGAGTGACCAGAGCAGTCCCGGGGGAACAGGCAGCTGAAGGAGGGCCCAGCCAACCCGTGTCTGCCAAGAAGCAATGTGCCAGAGTGGATTCTAGGCTTAGCTGTGCCCATTCCCTGCCGTGTGACCTCAGGCAAATTCTTCGCCTCTCTGGTCTCCGTTTGCTAAGCTGTGTATTGGGTCCACTGGGTCACTGATCTCAGGGGCTCCTTGGTGCTGATGTGTTGCAGGCTGTAGGTACCAGCTCCCAGGCCTTGGGATGGGGAGTAGTCATAGAGCTAGGGCTTCTGGCCTGGGGCATCTTAGCTTCTCCTGTCATTGTCCAAAAGCACAATGGTGGCATGGAACAAAGTCATGAGGAGGGAGGGGATCAGTGTGTTGGCCCTCCACCCCTCCACCCCTCCACCCCAAGGCACTAAAGCTTGGGGACTGGAGTGGAGGTATATTTGGAATGTCCAGAGAGGGCAACTGACTCAGCAGCGGTAACAGAGCTTTTAGACTCCCCATGGCCTCAGACAAAGGACCTCAGGGCTATTGTGTTTCCTGAGTGTGGGCTTTTGAATGACAAGTCAGTGTATTGAACATTTATTATTCAGGACCTACTGCAGCCAAGCATGGTAGCTTGTGCATGTGTGGCTGAGGCAGGAGGATTGCTGGAGCCTGCGAGTTTGAGACCAGCCGGGGCCAACATAGCAGGACCCTGCCTCTTAAAAAAATTTAAAAATCAGCCGGCCATGGACTACACACCTGTAGTCCCAGCCATTGAGATGGGAGGATCACTTGAGCTGAGGAGTTGGAGGCTGAAGTGAGCACCACTGCACTCTGATCCAACCTGAGCGACAGAACAAGACCCTGCCTCTAAGAAAATGAATCAAGAAAAAAAACATTAAAAAATAAAAAAGAAGAATCTACTATAAAAAAGGGGAAAAATAATCTCCTGCATGCCAGTGGCAGACAATACAAAATAGAGAAAGGCTGGGCCTTACCCTCCAAGAGCTGTTGGTCTAGAAGGAGGCAGACAGCAAACAAACTGTGGTGACTCATCATGCTAAGTGCCGCCCTCGAGATGTGCTCAGAACTGGGGACTCTGTTGGGGTGGGGATGGGAGTGTTCAGGGGGTATTCACGTTGACAGAGAAGGTGATTCTGAGTTGGGTTTTGCAGAATGACTAAGAATTCGCCACGAGGAGAACAGGCTACAGATAGATATCCTTTCAAGTAGGAAGAACACCTTTGCAAAAGCGAGGAGGCATGCATGGAATGCCATATGTTCTAAGAGTTTGTGGCTGGAAGGTAAATATGCGAGAGATGGAGGAATGGGGAAAGATGAATCCAGAGTGATTGTCCTGAACACTAGAGGAATGAACTGGAACCGAGGGATCATGGTCATGGAGACCGGGGAACTGTGGGATACACTTGGTCCTGAAGGACCTCATCCAGCTTCTAGTACTGTACCTAGCTCACAGCAGGGAGTCATTGTGGAATAATGAATGAATGAATGAATGAATGAATTTTTGCCTGGGACAAAGAGATCCAGAGAGAGAGCATAAAGACAAAGATCATCACACATGTTTAATAATCACAGCTAACACAGTGCTCCGTGCCAGGTATTCTGAGGGCCGTAAATACATTTATTCATGGACTATTCCCTACAACCCTCTGAGGAAGCCACTTTCATCAGCCTAATTAAAGGAAGAAATAACAGGCTCAGAGAGGTTAAGTAACTTGCCCAAGGTCACCTAGCTAGAAAGCAATAGAGCTGGGATTAAAACCCAGGCAGTCTGGCGCTTGCTGGGTTCCTCAGTGTCTGATGAGGCACGCTTGCTAGCCCTGGAAGATTCAGGATGCAAACACAGTTCTTGAGCTTCTGGGGCGTCTGTGTCCCATAGTACCTGAGACTGAGCATGAACAATGATCACCTGAGTCCCCTACAGCTCTGCTCATTGGCTGGTTACTGAATGGATAAATGAATGACCAGTGAGATGGCAAGTGGGTGGGCTTCTGAGGGGAGGCTGCTGGTGAGGTGGGGTGTCAGGTGCCTGTCCAGGGCTGGCTGCAGATGGCCCCTACCCCTCACTGTACACTGGCGGCCTGCATCATTAGGGGGCCTAGCAGGTTGTCTGAGGAGACCTGAAATTCCAGAAAATGTACTTGGTTGCGTCCAGCCTAATCACAACCATCTGCCTGCCGGGCTCCACGGTCCGCCTCCTCCCATCCCCACTGGCATGCTTTCCCCGGGCGTCTGTAACAATCGGGAACCGGGCTCGAAAGTTTCCTTGTCAGGGTAGAGTGGCTGTTGCCAAGAGCTACTTCTTTGATGCAGAAAATATATCCTGAAGGCACTTTGTCAGATGTTTTTATATTAAACATTTTTCCTCCGTGGCCCTTGGCTGCCAAGGGAAGCAGAGGTGCATTGCTTTTCCAGTTGTCCTTTGTGGAAGGAATTCCTGATATTCATGGGCCGTTT